GCCTGATTTCCTAACTAAATTTCCCAGTTTTCTTTATTAGGTCTTCAATTGTCTGAGAATTAGAAAAACATCTTGAATTCTGGACCTGTGCATCTGCCATGTGCTTGTGTGTGTGTGTGTGTGTGTGTCTACTTGATCAAATTTGTTCAGTGGTATCTATAGACCATCTGCATCAAATTAATCTGAGGTTCCTGATGCTTGTTAAAAATGGAGATTCTGGACCCTACCCAAGAAGTGTTACATAAGAATGTCAAAGGTTGAACTCAGGCATCGATGTTTTTGCCCTACCTATTCCTATTTCATTTTAATTTTTAGTAAGAAATTACAGATCCTGTTCAAAATCAAGGGGAATAATGCAGCAGACTCCACATACTCAAAGCGCAATGTAAACATTTTTTTTAAAAGATTTATATATTTTTATTGGGAAGGCAGATGTACAGAGAAAAGGAAATAAATCTGCTGGCTAACTCCTCAAGTTACTGCAACAGCCAGAGCTGAGCCAATCCAAAGCCAGGAGCCAGGAGCTTCTTCCAGGTCTCCCACACAGGTGCAGGGGCCAAAGGCTTTGGGCCGTCCTTCACTGCTTTTCCAGGCCACAGGCACGGAGCTGGATGAGAAATAAACCAGCCCATTTAGGATCCTGGAGCGTGCAAAGGCTAGGATTTAGCCACTGATGCATCGTGTTGCCCCCCAGCAATTTTCAATTCCTGATCTGTGTCCTTTCATCTGTAATTTGAAGCAATGACATCAATTAAATACTTTCATATGTACCTATGAAACATAACCACCTCTTATGCCTACAAATTATTTAATAGTAATCTCTAGTGTACTTCAGTTTCTGGTTCAGATTTTCCTAGTTTCATTAATGTTTCTTCACTATGCAGAGTTTTAGATACTTCGCCATGCAGCTGGGTTCTGTTTGAGCCTGCTGCTTTGGTCCCAGGCTATAGCATCCTCCACTGGTCTTCTGCGTTGAGTACAGTTTTTTTCTTGCTTGGTGTTATCTTCCGTCTTATCTTCACTTGCTATAAGCATCTTCCGGAAATTTCCTTTGATAGCTGCCTGGAAAGTAATCTTTTTGATTATGATAATGATAGCGTGATCTAAAAATGATAGCAAGTTTTGGCATGGCGGTCTATGTTGAATGTGATTTTTCTCAGAAGTTTGCAGACATTGTTTCAGAATTTCCTATTTCAGAGAAGAATAACATTAGTATGGCTCTAGTTTTTTTCTGTCCTTCCTGTTTTTTTTTTTTTTGTCTTTAAGTTTTATTATTTCCCTAATCTGTGTTTGAAAGTTTGCATTAATGTACCTAAGGTATGATTATACTTTTTTTTTTTAAGTTGGAAAGGCAGATTTACAGAGAGAAAGATTTTCCAACCACTTATTCACTCCCCAAATAACCACAGAGACTGGAGCTGAGCTGTTCCGAAACCAGTAGCCAGGAACTTCTTCTAGGTCTCCTATGCAGGCGCATGATCTCAAAGCTTTGGGCCATTCTCTACTGCTTTTCTACTAGTATTATACTATTACATATGCTTAATGGGTATTTATTAATTTGTCTTTCAGTTAGGAATTTTAAATATGTATTTTGATTATTTTTAACCTTAATTTTCTCTGTCTTAATCTTCTGGAAAGCTTAAGTTAGACTTCCTAAGTGAATACTGCACAATCTCCTATCTTTTTCTTTAATTTTCTGTCTTCAGTTAGTTGCTTGTTTGTTGTGGGTGTGCTTGTATGTGAGCATGTTTAATTCACATTCAGTAAAATTTCCTAGATTTCTATGGAATTTTCTTTTGTTGTAGCACTCATGTCATTTCACTCCTAGATGAGATAAGATCTCAAGGGTGTCTCTGGTATCTGCTCCAGCCATACGTCTTTCTCTTTGCTGTTTTCTTGTAAATCTCAGTACACAAATTACCTTGCTTCATGAGCTATCTAGTTTCAGGTCAGGGGTCATTTATTCTGATGCTAGGTTTGGATAACTTCTCTGGAGCTGCTGATGTAGTCTGTTCCATGACTTTTCTTTCATTGTCTGTCTGTGTGTTCTTCCTGGCCTTTCTGAATTTAGGGAGGCAACTACTGTTCTTCACTACACATGTATGCGAAACCTTTCATCCATAATCCAATAATATCAGGATACTTCAAAAAAATGTGTGGGAAATGGAATTAAAAGACAGGCTTGGGGTGGATATTTAGCCTAGTGGTTAGGTGCGGTTAGGAAGATCACCTCAAATGGGGCTCCTCAGACAGGCTTCATTATTGATTGTCTATGAGGGGTTGAGATGGACACAGTCTATTCTCATAGAGCCCCATGATCCAGGCAAAACTCAGTGAACAAGCTGAGTTTTGAATGCCTAAACTAGAAGTCAGCTAACAAGCTGAAATTGTTTGTGACCTTGTTTGGGGTCCCTGGTTCCTGAGAAATATAGGATAAGGCTTCGATTTAGGTAGTATTTTGTTGTTATGCCGAGATAAGCCCCGAGACTAAGTCAATGAGTTCAGATCTCAGGTGGCATTCTTAAGTGCACGGTGACCCTATATCCTAGTTTACCCCAGACAATCCTGGATTAGATACCTTATCCTAAACAGTGGTAGGGTGGAGGGGTTAAGGGGAATGGGGAGAGTGAAAGGGGAAATCCCTGAGCCTATGGAACTATGTCATGAAAAATAATTTTTTTTTAAAAGCTGCCTTATCACCATGCAGTCATCCATATGAGCCCTTTCCCTCTCCAAAGTGTTCAACTTTAGATGGTAAATTATATGGTCACGTATATCAATGCTTTTCTTTTTGCCATATGAACAAATTGCTTCAAAATCTACTTAAAACACCAGGTATTTAGGTTTAGCTCACAGACTTGTGTGTCACTGATAGCTCTGCCCCAGATTGTGGGTCAGGTTTAAGTTTATTTCTCATTTAGACTTTGGACCTAAGCTGCAAGTCTTCTCTTTGTGACACGTCAATGAGAAGATAATGCTTTTGCTCAGGGCTCATCTTCTTGTACAGAAGGTGAGAGCTCACGTCTTCTGAGTTGACGTGGGACATATTACACTCATTTTCCTTTGGCTAGATCAAATCACAAGACCACCATTGGCAGGTTGGGATTTGTGCTTCTCTCTTCAAGGTACAGGCAGTGCACTGTCTGTAGTGCAGGCAATGAATAGTAAGTGAATAATGTGCAACGGTCACATCACACACCTGAAACGTTAGTGTTTTCGCGTTGCTTCGCTCCTCCAGCCTGTGCTGGTGATATCTGTGTTGCAGTGTCTATGTCAGAACAGACTGGAAATGACTAACAGAACACAGGAGGGAATTTTGTCTCCACATGGATTATTGAGTGTATTAAGGGATTTTGCTGCTATGTGGAGCGTGCTTTATTTTTCCAATCCAGTTGGGGGTGGGGATTCGTATTTTCTGTGGCAGCTTGAAAACTAGCAGAGTTTCCTTTTCTGCTGTGCCCCAACACTACTACCTAACGTAGATGGCTGCACAAATGTTCCACTCTTTTATGTGAACTGTCAGAGCCAGGTGGAATCTTGGGTAAAGGCACACTCTCTCCCAGCTCCGTGGGGACTCTGTGAGATGTGACTTTAGCACCTTTTACTTTGACCTCCTGTTCCACTCCTTATGCCTCATCTGTGCCCTCATGACTCTGTACCTCAGACTGAAACAAAACATGTGTTAGGCTTGTTTGAATGGCACAGACAGAGAGGGACTTTCTGTTCTCTAGTTCACCACCTCCAATGCCCAAATACCCCCAGCAGCCAGATTGGCCTAGGCCAAAGTCAGGAACCTGGAAGGAAGTCAGTTAAGGTCTCCTACGTGGATTGCACAGAGCCAAGTATTTAAGCCATCACCATTACATCCCAGGTTGCACCTTATCAGGAAACAGATTGGAAGTGGAGCTAGGACTTAAACCCAGGAATTCTGACATAGGATTCAGGTATTCCAAGCAGTATCTTAGCCACTGTACCTAATGCCAGAGCTCCTGCACTGGAGATTCTTAATTTGTGTCTTCACCCAGTGCCCCTTCATCTGCCCATGTTAAATATCCTTTATTGGTTGGCTTTTGCTTTAAAGCAATTCCAGAAGTGCCAATGTTGTCACATTGTAAGTTAAGGCACAAGCTGGCATTCTCTATGAGTTACTGTTCGAGTCTAGCTGCCCCACTTCTGGTCCAGCTCCATGCTAACAGCCTAGGAAAAGCAATGAACTACAGCCCTGGAAGTGGAAGACCTAGGAGAAGCTCTTTGTTCCAGCAGAAAGAAGAAAGGAAGGTACTTCGTATTCTCTCTCTCTCTTTCTCTCTCTCTCTCTCTTTCTCTCTGTGTGTACAGGCATAAGCATGCCTTATTGTAGCCCAACAAATAGTGCGACTGCTATGGATAGTGAAAACTATGAGGACTAAATAACTAATTTTTCATTTTCCCCTTCACCAAATCCTGAATCTGTGAAGGTATGTAGTCTGTCTGTCATGTTGCTGGGCTATCCTCCACCACCTTCCCAGACCAGAAACAGGGAGTTGGAAGGGAAGTGGAGCAGCCAGGACATGAACCAGTGCCCAAATGGGATTCTGTTGTATGCAAGGTGAGGACTTTAGCCACCAGTCTACCATGTCAGGTCCTGATACCACATTATTAAAAACAACTTAATCTGCCCTGCTCGAAAGAAAAACAAAAGTCTTTTTGTAGGACAGGGTTTTGTCTGAGTTGCAGTGTATTCTCAGTTCCCCTGAATATCATACCACTTTTTGCTACATCAGGTTGTTCGTTGTTTCTCAACATTGACATACCACCTCCTCTGTGATGTTTTTCACTGGTCTTCTGGTATATCTGAGCCTCTAAGCCCACATTGTTATTACCCCAGGAACAGGTGACCAGCAGCAGCAGCCAGCCGCTCTTCCACAGTGGACTCCTGAGAGAGATCATTCTGCTTGTACTGTGCAATGTGTGGAGATGGGAGGAGTGCTCACACTGACTCTTGATTTGCTTCTTTACAGATATCTCAGTGAGCCTGCTGACCCTTGTGGTCACTGCCTGTGGTCTCGCCCTCTTCGGTGTGTCTCTCTTCGTGTCTTGGAAACTCTGCTGGGTTCCGTGGAGAGAACGAGGCCTGCTCTCTAGTAGCAAAGAAAACAACCAAGAGCCTTTTAACAACACGGACACAGAAACCAATGAGCAGGAGAACAGTGAGGACTTCCTAGACCCTCCTACGCCCTGCCCTGACTCCTCCATGAAGATCAGCCACACCTCCCCTGACATCCCCCTCTCCACCCAACCAGGGGTCCAAGAGAACTGTGCCCATGGCGTCCGTGTGCAGCGCCAAGTCACAGAGCCAACCTCTTCGGCTCGGTCAGTAATGCCTTTTTTCTTTCTGAATGCAAGGGTTAAGACCATTTCCCTTTTCAAATCCCTTTCTTGACAGCAGTGATGTTGGTCAGCCAAGTAGCCTATAATTGTTTGAATATCCATTTGGTATCACAGGCATGAATATGGAAAAACTCTTGGACTTCTGCTGAAGTTAGTTTCCTGAGTTCTGTAGTCCTCCTTCATGACAAAAACAATATTAGATATTAAAACCTTCTGTAAGTTGAATACTGTTTTTATGTATTTCACTAAAGCCTTTATCTATAGGGGTTGGATACAGTTTTCTCATTAAAAACAGTAGGATAAACTTAAAACAGTGACCTAAACTGTGGCCACAATGGGCTCTTTGGGCTTCACAGTGTGTCTGCAAGTCTTTGTCCACTCCAAGGCTTTGTGAAGCTGTATAGCAGCACCCATGCGTAGGTGACTCTCACTCTCTTCACATTTTCAGATGCTTTGTGTTCTTAAGAAGTGGACAAGTAACATAAATGCAGTGATAAAAAGTGAGAGCTCAGAGTTCAAAAGGAGTGGCTATAACACTTTTTGAATTCGATCAAATTTACTTTACCTTCACCTGTGTCTGTTGCCTCTTTTGTAAAAGAATAATAATAATAATACTGACTTAGAGGTGGTTTAGGAATGAAGTGATGACTTGTGCTATGGACCAGTTCACCCGAGTAAGTGCCTCAAAATGTGAACTTCATTTTGCGTTGCTATTACTTTCGTCAGCATCATTATCATTGATACAGGCCTCTTCCGAGACTTAAATGTTGCAAGAAAGGTGAGTTTGAGGCTAAATTGCCAGTTCTCAATCACTAAATATAAAAGCTATTTTATAATAAAGTTTCAGAAAAAGAGACACAGGAAGCACCTTTCTTTAAAATGAAAATATTTACTTACACAATAGCCAGGGGAATTGCATGTGCTATTATCTGCAAAGCGTCAGCACAGTTTGAAGGGTTTTTTTTTAAGATTTTTTTTTCTTCTCTTGAAGCAAAAATAAGATCTTACCCTTTTTATGTTAATAAAGTTTATCCTAGAGGCACTGTTCATTCACATTAAGTGGGATGGAATATGACAGTTTACTGTTTCATTTTTTTCAGAAACCTATTTTAGCATCATTTCCAATTCTGAATCAAAGAACTCAGCTTAAAATATTCCTGTGAGGAAAGAGGTGGTTGTTTGCCATTTGATTTAGAAGAAATCCTCAGATTTTATCACTAGAATTTCTCTTTAGATTTATGACTTAAATATACCCAGAGCTCTGCTTGATGCTGTTGTGAGTTCATGGGGGTGGTGCCAGCTCATAATAAAGTCCTTTCAGTACTTCAATCACTGGATTCTTTCAACTGGAGCTGCCACTGAAATTGTCTCCTATGTGGTTCTATTCTGCATGTAGTTTTTCTGGGTTTCTTTAAAACACTGTGCTAATATTGTGCGTTTTTATTAGATTTGTTCCAAAGAGTCTACCATAATTTTAATGAACCTATTGCAATAATATGACTACAATTATCATAATATTTATTATAGAAAAATACACGAGTTCTATGCGTATTTTAAATAAAGAAACCTGGGGACATAGGTTAGACATCTTGTAACTCTCATGCCCCGTATCAGAGTACTAGTTTGAATCCTCTTCCTGTCCAGTGACCTGCTAATGCTCCTGGGGAGGCAATGGAAGATAGCCCAAGTATTTGGGGGCCCTGCCTTACCTATGGGAGACCTTGCAAGGGTTCCTAGCCCTTGGCACTGAACTGACACTTCCCTGGATGTTGCTGGCATTTAGGGAATCATCCAAGCAGATATAAGATCCTTCTTAAAAAAAAAATAAAGAAAGAAACAATCTACTGACTTCTGGCAATGGAGGAGACATAAAAAAATAAAAGAAAAACAAAAAAATTACCTCTGTAAAATGTACTTTTCAGTAATATTTATTTAATTTGGAAGTATGCAATTAAACATTTTTTTCTGATAACCAAAATCAGCCTTAGTTAATACCTGAACTACTCAGAGAAAATGAAACTCTTTCTAGTTGCTTTTAATCTAATACTGACAATTTGCATTGTGATGCATTCCAAACATTCATACCTAAATTATTAGTGACCTAGTTTTATGGATTCTGAATGGAAATGCATATCATTATTTCATGGTCTTACAATAAAAGTTGTATATATAAAGACTATGTTGCATAAGAAAACTCAAATGGAAGAATTGCATGAAATTTCCTTCATGTACATTTTTAACATTTTCCTCTAAGTGATATTTTTGATTCCCCATTTGGGGAGGGGAAGGTCCTCTTTGATGAGCTGGTGAGAAGTAACCTGTTCTTCCAGCTGTTATTTCTTCTGTCTTGGTTCATATCCACCCTCCATGAGCACTAATCCCAGGGTCCTTGGGACACCTTCTCAGCTAAGATTCCCATTTAAAGGCATCCTGACCACCTCTCGGCCTTACCTGGATCCTCAGCTTTGTTCTGTTTGGTTCACATCAATGTATTTTTAAAACATCTTGAAAATGAACTTTGTTTTATGTTCTAAGGATATTTCTGGTTAGGATGACTTTCTGTTGTTCTTCCAAGATCAAGCTTGTATTTAGTTACTGTTAGAACCATCCCAAATTCCTCTTAATTCTTTTCTATTAGAATGAAATTCCACCTGTTTAATGGCCTAGTGTGCTGAGAATGTGGATATTATACATTTATTTATTTATTTATTATCATTTTATGACACAGTTTCAAAGGCTCTCAGATTCCCCCAGCCCTTCCCCAAACCCTCTTCCCATATTGAATTCCTCCATATTGTTACAGTAGTGCAAGCAGGTATGGACCATATGGAGAGTCCAGCATCTTATTGTCCAGATAAATCGAACAGTTTCATTGGAAGACCGTCATTGGTCTGAAAGTAGAGCTGGCATTGTACTTTTAAAAAATGTTTTCAAAACTTCATAAAATTCTCTTTCAAATCTATGAAAATTCTTGAATCCTCAAAAATAGAATGAGCCTTAAAAAATCATGTAATCCAATTTCTGATTTATGCTCCAAGAGAGTATCATCTTTTTTACTTAAGCCTCCTGAAAGTTCCTATGCAACGTTTTGGTTTCTTGAAAATCTCAATTATCACACCCTAAACTCCTTTACAGGCCTTTGGGGGCCCTGCATGATACTGGCGGTTTGATCATCTCATCCTCATTTCCTGGCCAGGATTATCATGTCATACAACCCAAAAGACACTGTTAGCTTGGACTCAGTAAGAGGTTTTACTGGAATAAAGCTTGTTGCATTGAGGCCACTGCAGCCTTCCCCATTTGATCTAGGCCTCACATCCATTAAGCATCTCTCATTTAGACTTTTGACCTATTCTCTGAGTTGAACAATCTGTAGACTCACAGAAATACACCAACAAAATTAGAAGGGGGAGATAATTATCACCTTTCAAATTTAAGCTCCCTTATTGGCCACAATTCCAAGAAGTAATGCACAAAGATTACATGTTGTACTTACTCTGTTCATAGCACATTTCTTTCTTTAAAAAAGGGGGAGGGATTTTTTTTTAATAAGGAGAGGAAGGGAAGAAGGGAAGGGGTGTAGAGAAAGAGAGAGAGGAGAGAGAGAATGAATATGAGTGAGATTCTTCCATCTGCTGGCTTACTCCCTAAATGGCCACAATAACAGGCTGGGCTGGGTCCATGAACCTGAAATTGTTCCAAGTCTCTGATTTGGGTGGTAGGGACCCAATCACTTGCGGCGTCTTCTAGGCGTGTTAGCAGAGAGCTGGATCAGAAGGAGAGAAGCCTAGGCTCAAAGCTATGCCCATTTGGATGCCAGTGTTACTTACAGGCTCTGCCTTAACTTACCACACCACAATGCTCAGCCCTGACATATTTCTAATAAGCCATAATTTTGTGTATTGAACATCTGGAACATACAACTTTTAAATTACTATTTCTTGAGCTTCTAATAAACTGGCAGCTTAAATAATGACAGTTGTTTAGATATGACTCAACTTACATGAGGCCTTGAAAATAAATTTAACCGTTGTTTTCTCAATTCACATATTGGTTATCAAAAACTATTGTGTCTCTAGCATTCCTGGGTTTAGACACACACTTTATGCATCTATTATGTGTGATATTCTATATTAGTTGTTAGTAGATGAGCAATGAGTAGACATTGAAGTGCTTATATTATTCATTAGAAGATTAATCTGAGAAGAATGTATTAGATATACAGCGTGAAAGTCCAGATACAGGGAGTTAGTTTATGTTGGAAATATTAAGGGCATCAATTGAGTGCAGTGGAATGGAGAGAGACATGGGATGTGAGATGCTTTAGAAAGGCTGTTGATAAAGTCTCTTCTTGGTTATGAAGATAAGGTGTCTGAAAGTGACCCTAAGGTTTCAAACCTGTTTTAATGTGGGAGAGTGTGGAAGAAAGCAGGTCATGCTTCAGTGTATACATTTGCACTAGATCACATACCTCTGCTGGTGCCAATGCCCGATGCATGCGTCTTCATTGTCTTCTTCTATTCTAGCCCAAGGAAGCCTTTGATCTCTACTTCCTCCTGTCCTTGTGCTATGATAATTGCATCATTCCCTATGCAGGACTTCTCCTTGTGTCTCAGTAGGTCAGGAAAATTGGATTGTTTCTTCTCCTTCACGAGGTGTTCCCAGAAAGGAAAAGAAGATCCTACCTCACTGTTTGTATAATTCCCTGCGTTAAGCACAGACAAAATATCAAGGAGAGTTCCGAAGCCACAAGCAGCTTTTCTTTCCTTCGGACCTAAAGCACAGTCAACAATAGTGTCTCAGAACCAGGTTGAAAGGATACATTGGGTATTACCTCTGAGATGGGATGGTCCAAGGGAGGAGGCAAAATATATTTATTTACTTGAAGGATAGAGTCAAGTCTCTCTCTTTCTCTCTCTCTCTCTCACACACACACACAGACTAGTCCATCCTCTAGTTTACTCTCCAAGTGTCTGCAACAGTAACTGCTGAGGCTGGTTCCAGGAATTAGGATCTCCATCCACATCTCCCACATGGAAAGCAGGAACCCAAGCATCATGCATTGCTTCCCTGGCAAAGTAACAGGTGTCTGGATTGGAAGTGGAGCAGCCAGAACTCAAACTGGTATTTTGTTGTGGGATGTGGATGTACCAAGCAGCAGATTATTCCACTGCATCACAGTGCTCACTTTTAATTTTTTCTATTATGCACTTTAAGCCCCTAGGATATCAAAATACAAAATACTACTCTGAGAGCTGTCTGCGGCATGTACAGATCCCTCTTTGCAGCACTCACTCAACATAATAATCACTGTCATTCAGTGACATTGGAATTCTAAACCCTTGCCTTCCAGAACTCATTTGCAACACTTAGGCACCACTTCCATTGACCATGTACAGCCACCTCATCCAGGGTGGGAAGAGTTCAAGTCATTCTGTTCTGTCTCTCCTTCCTCCTGCTTCCTTTTGAGTAGCCCGAAAGAGCTGTGGAATATTGATTGTTTATTTCCTTGACTTGCACTTCTTCATGTTCCTTGGGCAGCCTCCCACCTCTACTTTCTCATTTATACTTCCCTGGCTGCAGCCCCACCACTGCCAAGAGCTGCAGAGGTTTTACAGGGAGGTCAAGAGATACCCTAGTTCTCTGTTCTGTCCATTCCCCTAACCCCAATGAACAAATAGTTCCCTCCTGGACGGAACCCCAGGAAATAATGTTGTCCGGTCCATTCTTTGTTATCCGCCGGCACCCCACCACCTCACAGTTAGTTTGAACTGTTTTCCCAGTGGGAATGTGAGTCTGAGTGGGGGTGGAGAGGATTGGAATGGAATTAATCATGTAGATAACCATCTTTAGTGATTGACTTTTTAAAGAAGATACTTTGGCTGGCTTGGATTTTTTAGTATAGGGCTTCCTGTGCAAATGGTTCCCAAGGAATGGGATCTTGTTTTAGTCTTTGAAGTATAAATCTCTCCTTAATGCTCTTCCCATTCACCCCCTGGCCATCAGTCCAGGCTAGCAGCAGCTGAGCATGTAGAGCTAATTTCTCTTCAGATCTCGTGTCTAAGAAAATGTACATGTAAAACAGAATGTGTTCCATTGCTAAGAAGCCAAATCCATATATTTCAGGTTAAAATTTAAACTTACATGGGACAGGAGTAAAGACACAATATTGCTGTGATGGATTTAAAACTCAGTACTAAAAGTATTAAAAAAGCCAATGGTAAATTGTTATGCAGACAATTTGCTCAACAATGCCCTGGGGAGAGAAGTGACAAGGGAGGGTCAGAGCTTGGGCCTGGCAGTAGACACAGAATTACTGCCCTACCTTGGACTCCAGTCCTGAGAAGGAGCTTCTGGGGATCTTAAGGGAGGCACTTCTGTTGTGAAAAGAACACCACCAATTGGGCAGCACCCACAGTGGCCCAGGCTAATCCTCGCTGGTTAGTCTCACTAACCAGTGCCTCTCAGAATGTGAGGAGTTGACTAGGTCCAAATTCTGAAACTTTTAGAATCTGTTCTGCAAGGAAAAATCAATAGCAGAGGGAAGAGCCTGTAGTAGTCCTACCTGACATCTGCTTGGGCAGGGTACTTGGTGACCTCTGCCCAGAGTCCAGCAGAGAGAGGAAAGCTTGTTTCAGCACCACAGCAGTCCCACATCTGGGCATGGGATTGTCTGGATGTGCTAACACAATCACTGGTTTTAAGTGTTTAACAGTGTTTCTTATTTTTCCCCCCAGAAATTGTAAGATTTAAAAAATAAAATTAAATTAGGGCTGAAGGAGATATGTGACTGTGGAGTGTTGGGTTTGATGGGTAGCAGTGACAGCTCTGGGACACCACCCTTTGTTGTACCACATGAGTGATTAGTGACCACGAGGGTATTTTACGCATAAGAAGACAGTTTAGCCTGTCAGCTTCTGTGATGACAAGAAGGAACAGTTTATGCAGGCTTGGGATGCATTAATCCCATCTTTACATTTTTATTTCATGCCATAGTCTTAAGAAAGGAAGACCAATTCAGACATTCACTCTGCCTGTTTATCAGCCCCTCAGAGGCAGCCTGGCTGTTCCTTGTCACCTTCTGGTGGAGATGCTGTTTAATTAAAGTTATTGAACAACTGTATGTAACACAATATAGTGACTATGAGCTCTGAACTGCAAACAAACAAAAATAACTTTAAAAACAACTTTGTATGTAATGAATAGGTCTCTCAACTTGTAAGGACCCACACAAACAAGACAAGTTTTAAAAGAGACTTTTAAACATCTGTCTTTCAGGAACTTTATAATCCAAACCAACAAATGTGTAGGGTGAGGCTTATATCTGTATACCCTGTTATATTCTGTTAGCAGACATATAATTTGCAAAAACTCTTCCCAAACTTCTCTAACTGAATCCCTGTAGTCATTTATGATAGCCCACCTTTAATGTAACATTTGTATCATTAATGTTTATTTCAAAAATAAAACTTTCTGATAATTGATCACCCACACAATCCCACAAAAACACAATTCCAGAGCTTGTACCAATCAGAGCCAGAAACAATCCACTATAAGCAGGCACGTCTAGTCACATATAACTTCACTTGAGCAAAAACCCTTCTTTGGAGAAAATGCTTTGATTTAAAACTGAATTAAGAATTCACATCATTATTAGGCTGTAGTCAGTGACAGGACTTTCTGCGTAACTTAGAGAAACATTCATCTTTCTGAAGACAACATTTAGCCAACTATTTAGGTATCAGAATATTATATACAAGTGATAATTTTATTTTTAAAGCAATTTGTACAAACCTTTGCATTCCACCAACCAGATAAGCTTCTTTAATGGTACATTAGACAGTTAAAAAGTGCATCAAACCTTTAAAGCTCCAAGATCACATGTTAGTAAGTTCATTTCCTGATACCAGGCCTCAGTTTTGAGCTTCAGGCCATAGGGAGCAACTTATTCACATTGATGAGCATTTTGAATTTAGGCCAGAAAAGGAAAAAAAAAAAAGTCCACAGAAACAAGCTCTTTCTAGAATGTAACATTGCGGGCATGAGTTTCTAAAAGACCCATAGCTAATGAGGTTATAACTTGGCTCTGTCTTGCTCTTCATTCAAGGCATAATTCAATCCGAAGACAACTCAACCTGTCAAACCCAGACTTCAACATCCAGCAGCTTCAAAAGCAGGAGCAGTTGACTGGAATTGGTAGAATTAAACCGGAGTTATATAAGCAGAGGTCATTGGATAATGATGACGGGAGAAGGAGTAACAGCAAAGCTTGTGGAAAACTGAACTTTATTTTAAAATATGACTGTGACTTAGAGCAGCTCATAGTGAAGATTCACAAAGCTGTCAATTTGCCGGCCAAGGACTTTTCTGGGACTTCAGATCCTTATGTCAAGATCTATTTGCTTCCCGATCGGAAAACCAAACACCAGACTAAGGTTCACAGAAAGACCCTGAACCCTGTGTTCGATGAAGTGTTTTTATTTCCGGTTCCCTACAATGATCTAGAAGCACGGAAGCTTCACTTCTCTGTGTACGACTTTGACAGGTTCTCGCGCCACGACTTAATTGGCCAGGTGGTGGTGGATCACTTCTTAGACTTGGCTGATTTCCCCAGGGAGTGCATCCTGTGGAAGGATATCGAATATGTCACCAATGTGAGTCCAGCATTTCTTCATTTGGGGTGGGGTGGGGTGGGCTTGGAAACAGAGAATTTATGCATTATTTTATTGATGGGACAAAGTGCTTAATATTTATCAATTCACACGTAGTTACTATTTTGGAGCTTCATTGTCTCTTTCTAAAATCAGATTCTTAGATTCTAAGAATTACTCATGAAAATGGGGCCAAAGAGAAACTGTTATTCTCTATCTTCTGATGTAGTAGCTGTTCTTTAATAGATAACAGAAACTACCTGTCCTTCTTACCACATTTTCTATAGAGTTTTCTTAAGTTGCTTGTGTTCAGTGGATCCTGGCATTTATGAACCGTTGTCTGCAGCCACAGATCATTGCCTGTTTCCAAGAGCACTGAGTTCTTGCCTATGCTCTCAAGTTGTTTCAGCAGTATTTCTTTGATCAGATCCTCAACTTTAACCCTAGAAGTGAGGGTGGTTCACAAGAGTGGTTACCGCAGTTTTAAACGTGAGACCCAACAGAATCCGAACCATAAAGAAGTCAGCCTGAAAAGAGCTACATGTGATAGTAACTGGTCTAGAGAAGATCAGTCCAATTTAGACCTCAGGAGAGAAGGCAAGGCTCTGTGTGGCGGAACCGCACATCAGTACTTATTCAGACATAAAGTTTCAGAAGCGATAGCTTCCCCCCATTTGCGTCCGTTTCTTTTATCTTATAACAGCATATTACAACTCTGGAAATAAAGGGAATTGGGGCTCTCCCGGGTAACTTTTTAAAACCACCAGTTTCTCTCATGTATCTAAACCCCCTGCTATAACTGTCTCCTTAAGCACATGCCATCCAAAGCCAGCATAGCTCTCTTTCTCTGCCTTGGTGTCCAGAGGGCTGAGCACCACCAGCCACATTCAGAGCACATACCAAGTCAGTTTGAGTTTGCAGCCTATAGATTGAAAAACTGTCACTGTGCTTGGGAGCAAGATGTACAAAATCTGTCAACTGGTCTGTTCTTTAAAGATTTATTTGTTTGAAAATTAGATTTACGAGGCCCAGTGCAGTAGCCTAGTGGCAGAAATCCTTGCCTTGAGATGCCTGGTTCTAAAGTCCTTGCCATATGGGTACCAGTTCAAATCCTGGTGGCCCCACTTCCCATCCAGCTCCCTGCTTGTGGCCTGGAAAGCAGTGAAGCATGGCCCAAAGCCTTGGGACCCTGTGGGAGACTTAGAACAAGCTCTTGGCTTCGAATCAGCTCAGCTCTGGCCTTTTGTGGCCACAAGGGGAGTCAGTCAGTGGACAGAGGAGCCTCTCTGCCTCTTCTCTCTGTGTATCTGCTTTTCCAATTAAAAAAATCTTAAAAAAAAAAAAAAAAGAAAGAAAGAAAAGTACAATTACAGAGAGGGTGAGACAAAGAAGAGAAAGGTCTTCCATTCATGAATTTACTTCCCACATGGGGCAACATACAGGGCTGAGCCAAGCCGAGCCGAGCCAACCAAAATCTGGAACCAGGAGCTTCATCCAGGTCTCCAGCTCCAGCTATGGTGGCTATTTGGGTAATGAAGCAATGGATAGAAGATCTCTGTCTGTTTATCTATCCCTATCTCAGTAACTCTTTTAAATAAATAAATACATCTTTTAAAAAATATTTTTAGAAAAGGTATCAGTTTGCCAAGAGTCTGTTTTAGTATAATAGTGTAATTATAATATAGAATGTGTACAAGTCACAAACAGACTAATGAAGGAATAGTTAGACGAACAGGCATGAACCTGATTTCTGAGGAGTATATAGGACATTACCAGTGTTTTTACTGACAGTTACATTGCCCACCACCCCACATGCTTCCTCAGTCCAGTTCTGCCAAAGGAAAACCACAGTCCCAAAGTTAATTCACATTGTAAACTATACTCAAATGTAACACAGTATAGATTATAGCTTTGTTCTCCTTGCATAGCTCCCCTTTGACTGGTTTTTTTTGGTAAACACTGATGGTTGAATGGAACAGCAGAGGTTCATGTATTTCTATTGCTTCTACTAATATATTAATATGACAAGTTAGCATTCTTTTATTGGTGACTTTGCAGGAGTTGTTAGTGTTGTGATTGTGCGTAATATGGTAGAAGATTTTCAGATACATCACTTGATGAAATAATTTCTCTTGGGCATATTCCTAACAGAGGAAAGGAATACACATGTTCAACTTTTCAAGATAATAACAAGGTCTTTTCCCCAGTGGCTGTACTAATTGATCCTCCTATGGTGAGAGTGACAGCTTCTGATGCTGTACTTCCTCACCAACTCTTGTACTTGTCATACCAATTAATGTGTGTGTGTGTGTATGTGTGTGTGACATGCATGTAAAATGAAATATTGTTGGCAGTTTCTCAGTTGTCAGGGTGGATAAATGTTAATATGTTTATTTGTCGTACATGTTTTCTTTCTTGTGAAATGCTTATCCAGCACCTTTTAAAGAATTTATGCATTTATTTGAAAGAAGGAGTTGCAAAAAGAAGGTGAGAGGCAGAAAGGTAAACAGAGTGAGTTGAGTGACAGAGAGCTTCCATCTACTGACTCATTCCCCAAACACAATTGCCGGGTTTTAGTCTGTTGGAAGCACGGACCCTGGAACTTCATTCAGGTCTCCCAAGTGAAGCAATGGGACTCTAACCAGTGCTCATATGGAATAGCAGCATTGCAGGTGGTAGCTTAACTCACGGTATCTCCTCAGCCCCTTTATTCATTATTTTGTACTGTTTTCCTTTCCTTATTTATTCATATATACTCTTTACAGTCTGTACAAAAGTATGGGCTTTTTTGATCTTGCAAGCATCTTCTGTATGAGTAGTACGGCTGGCTTTGTATTCACAATATAGTATCTTGTGATACATAGAGGTTTAATGTAAAAACACTTTAGTATTTTCCATTATGTTAGAACACTTCAAAAAGTATTCTAATGGAAAATGTAGTCAAAAGGCAAGTATTGTTTGAGTAGGTTAAGCTGCTGTTTGGGACCCACATTTCATGTTAGAGTCCTTGGATCAGATTCCACTTAATGTCTTCTGTTCTAGGAATTTGTTCTAAGATGCCTGAGAGGAAACAGGGCTTGAGTCCTTGCCAACCATGTGGGAGAGCTGGATGTACTTTCTGAGTCCCGGCTTCAGTCTGGACAGCCAGCAGTTTGGGCCATTTGAGGAGTGAACCAGTACCCTGAGAATCCGTTTTTTTCAGTGCTGTAGCACTGGCATCTTATATGGGTGCCAGTTCATGTCCCAGCTGCTCCACTTCCAATCCAGCTGCCTGTTAATGGCCTGGGAAAGCAGTGGAGACTGGACCGATACCTTGGGCCTCTGTACTCATGTGAAGACCCGGAAGAAGCTTCTGGCTCCCAGCTTCCAATTGGCCGAGCTCTGGTCATGACAGCTATTTGGGGAGTGAACCAACAAATGGGAGATCTCTGTTACTCCTTCTCTGTCTCTGTAATTTTGTCTTTCAAGTAAAAATAAATAAATCTTTAAGTAAAAAAAAAATCAATTTTTTATCTCTCATTCCAATTTTAAATAAATAAAAATGAATAAATTTTTTAAATAACTGAAGTCCAAACATATGGGAGTTTATGTGAAATATACATTATAGTAAAAGAATTTGTGAAATTCAAAGTTTTGCATCAAAATAAACTTACCTTTTATTTTCCACAAACTTTTTAAAAACCCTTAACATTTGTACGCTGTGTTTTATTTAAGAAGTCTTCTTAAATTTATGTCTCCTGCATTTTCAATTATATATTTTAAAGGTTTGGCTTTTTAAATTATGCTTTTACTCTATCTAGAATGGAATGTTTTATGTAGTGTAATTTAAAAATCCTGTGCTAGTCGGCAGGTCATCTAAGCTTTTTCTGTAGTTCATTTTATGCCAATACTTTATATTTATCATAAATTTTAAAGTTATATTATTGAGGTAAAGAAAAATTCTGTTGTGATTTTAGACCTGTATGAAGTTTATAAATTCAGGGAAATTTTACATTTTTGTAATATTGGGTCTTTATATTTGTGATTGTAATATCTCTCCATTTACTAAATTCTTTATTGTCTATAATTTTTTTTTAATTTGTACTTATTTTTAATCATTTGAGAGACGTGGAGATGCAGAGTTTCCATGTCTTATCTTCATTCCCCAACTGCCTGTAACGTCTGGGGCTAAGCAAACCAGAGCTGGGAGCCAGGCATTCAATGCAGGTCTCATGCAGCAGCAGGACTCAGCTACATGAGTCACCACCTGCTGATGCACTCGGAGTTCACATTTACAGGAATCTGCAATGGGATTTAGGAAGTGGATATTCCAAGCAGTGTCTTAATTGACATATAAAATATCCACCCATCAAGGGTTATCATTTTCCCCAAGATGATTTTGTATTTCTCAGATATTAAGCACCGAATTTTTTGTTTTTGCTATTTTAAATGTCTTCTAAAAATTGCATTTTCTGAATATTTCTGGCATGTAGGACAGAAATATTCAGAAAATGGCATTTCTGGCATTTCCAATCTATAGTTATAACCATTGTATGTTTGGATTTTTTGATATGTTGTTTGGGTTTTGGTTTTTTGAGTTCTAACATACTAGGAAAATATGTGGTTTTTGTATTTCTTTATTTTGTTTATTTTTTTTTAAGATTTATTTTTATTGGAAAGGCAGATATATACAGAGAGGAGGGGAGACAGAAAGGAAGATCATCTGTCCGATGGTTCATTCCCCAGGCGACTGCAGCGGCTGGAGTTGAACCGATCCAAAGCCAGGAGCTTCTTCTAGGTCCCACACGGGTGCAGGGTCCCAAAACTTTGGGCCATCCTCCACTGTTTTTCCCAGGCCACAGGCAGGGAGCTGGATGAGAAGCATAGCTGCCACGGTTAGAACTGGCACCCAAATGGGATCACAGCTTGTTCAAAGCAGTGACTGTAACCACTACACTATGCTGTCGGGCCCTGTTCATTTTTCTTAACATGATGTCTTCTATATGCATTACTTTTTTGGCAGT